AAAAAAAAAAAAAAAAAAAAAAAAATGACACATAGGAAGAGAGGAAAAAAATGAGTCTGGGTCCTGGGTGACAATGAGTCACTGAATCAAACCAATGCTGAAGCCTATCCTACCATTTGCAAATGTCAATAACCTCCTTTATCAGTTAAACCAGTTTGAGCTGAGGTTTATATTATTCACAACATAACACTTCCCATAAAGAGAGGAAAGGATGTTCACTCTTGTGATTTAAACCTAAAATGTACCCTCCCCAAAGTCTCATGATTTCAAAGGTAACCGGATCATGAAGGCACTGTACTTATCAGGGATTACAGAGATGTGAGAAGGCACGAGTTCCTAGAGGAGTCGTGACTGACCCCAGAGGAACTGCGGACAGTTCAGCACCTGGAGCTCAGAACAGGAGGGAGGCATTCGAAAAAGGAAGCTGAAGTTGTAGGTGGAAGCTGGAATAAGGAGCTGAGTGGGTGGCATGCTTAAACACACTAGTTGTATCCTGTAAGTACTGGGGTAAGATGGCATTTGGGGGACAGAACAACTATTTTTTGTTTGTTTTTTTGTTTTTTGTTTTTTGAGACAGGGTCTCACTATGTAGTTGAGACTGATCTGGAACTCACTATGTAGTCCAGGCTGGTCTTGAACTCACAGAGATCCTCCTGCCTCAGCCTCCTGAGTGCTGGGATTACAGGCGTGCGCCACCATACCCGGCCTTTTTTTGGTTTTTTTGAGACAGGGTCTCACTATGTAGCTGAGACTGACCTGGAACTCACTATGTAGCCCAGACTGGTCTCGAACTCACAGCAATCCTCCTGCCTCAGCCTCCCAAATGCTGGGATTACAGGTGTGCACCACCACGCCCGGCTCAATTTTATTTTAGATAGGTTACTAGAGAATTAGAAAAGGATGAGACTATGACAGAGATGGTCTGGGTTTGGAAAGAGATTGTAAAAACCTGAAAGACACTGAGGGGAGGAATGTAGAGAAAGGGTTAAACCTGGAAGAGAGAAAGAAAGACGGATTTCAGGGGGTTGAATCCCTGGCTTGGTTACCTGTAGGCCACGCGGAATAAAGGAGAGGAGGACTTGGGGCTCTGCCCACCTTTCTAACTTGGGTTTCTAGCAGTCGGTGGCACCATTCACTGACACTGGAATACAGATGGAGTCCCATTTGTGACATGTTGAATTTCAGGGGCTGTGGGATGTGCAAGAGTTGTTTGGCGGGTACAATAATATCCATGGTGCTTTTAAACATTTTTTTGTGGCTTAAAACAACACAAATTTGTTCTTATCTAGGTCAGAAATTTGACATGGGGCTCACTGGGCTAATGTCAAGGCGTCGACAGGGCTGCTGCCTTCCTTTATGCAGACTTTAGGGGAATCTGTTTCTTTTCCTTTTCCAGCTTCTAGAGACTGTCCACATTCCTACTCTCATAGTTCCCTTCCTCCGTCTTTGAAGCCAGTAATTCTCTGATCCGTTTTCTATCACATTTCTCTCTGACTATAGCAAGGAAAGGTTCTCATCTTCTAAAAATGTATAGGATTAAATTGTGCCACATGGATAATCCAGGCTAATCTCCTCCATCTCAATTTCCTGAACCTTGATCATGTTTGCAAAGTACCTGTTGCCATGTAATGATGTAGCCACAAGTTCTGGATGGCTGGGGATTTAGCTCAGTGCTCCTCGCAAGCACAAGGTCCTGAGTTCAATCCCTGGTACAGCAAAAAAAATTCTGGAGATCAGGCTGTGAAGATATTTGGGAAGCATTTTTCTGCCTAACACAACCCCCATTCAGATCATGAGGGA